TTTCTGGTGCTTTCACTTCCAGAGACAGTTGTAAGCACTGTGTAACTGCCTCGAGGGTGCTTGACCATTTTAACACAGCGTGGTGCGATCATCCCCCTTTCGCGGAGCGAGGGTTCTGCATCCCGCACAACATGATCCACTCGACCACCATTATGGTTACCGCCAAAAGAAAAACAGAGGTGAAAAAAACCAAACAGTAACCTGGTTGCCGAGTTCACGAAGTGAATTGGCTTGTTTTACACGTCGTTGCCAAGCGACGAAAACCCAATCCCGATGGCAAACACCGGGGGGGGCGGATCGAAGGCATGCTCGAGGGTAGCTGGGCCAGAGCTTACGCAAAAAAAGTCGCTGAGAATCAAGCTGTTTACGCAGATGGTGTCAAAAGTCGGACCAAGACTCGCTTCGAAAAGATTGAAAGAAAAACGTGCACAGGCAACCAGGGTTGGTCACATCATCCTTCGATTTATCATAGACATGGAGCGAAAATAGTGATTGAAAAGGCAAAGGCCTGGGGCTGGCAATCCCCCGCTCGCGTGGTGGATGATCTCAATATTTTCGTGACAGTATCATTTTCAGCTTCGGCTGGAAACCCATCGAACGCCATCGCAAGCGTTTCTATTCACCAGAGAGGAAATATCATGGAGCCCTGACATCGGGCCGGTAAACAACGGCACGGCGGTGGCAGTAGGACTGCTGCTCCCAACGATGAAGAGAAAGCTGTTTCGACTTGGGACACATCGGCCACCCCCCACCCCCCCGCCCCCTCCCGTCGGGGACGTCCAATTTCGATCTTGGTGTTGACTAGGAATTAGAACAGGGGGGCTTCGTTCACGAACAATACGTCGTTACCCCGCCTTCGGAGAGGGGTTTCAATTCACGGTGCCCCTTACGAAAATATAGAAGTTAGCGCCCCCCCCCCACTACACAAGCCGCCGCCCCCGGTGTTTGCCATCGGGATTGGGTTTTCGTCGCTTGGCAACGACGTTGTAAAACAAGCCAATTCACTTCGTGTGCTCGGCAACCAGGTTACCGTGTTTTTTTTTTTTTACCTCTTTTTTTTGGTGGTAACCATGATGGTGGTCGAGTAGATCATGTTGTGCAGGGTCGAGAACCCTCACTCCGCGAAAGGGGGATGATCGCACCACGTTGTGTTAAAATGGTCAAGCACCCTCGAGGCAGTTACACNGATGCCGAACACCCTCAGCAGGATGCAGCGCACCCTTCATGCGACTCGCCGAATACCTCACGGTGCTTCGCGCTTGGTGATGTGAGAGCCTGGTCCGGTGAGAACCCTGCGTGCTCCGTCCCGGCTTGCGAGGTCAATGGTCTAACGACTACGGCATGCACGACTATGAGTACCCCCCCCCCGCCGCAGCGCGGTCTCCGATTTCAATTTTATTGGGCGTATGCAGAACTGTCTTGAATCTTTTTCGCGTGGACGCTTTCGATAACCGATATGATTGCGCCAGTGCTGAAGAAGCCCCGCACAGAGGCAAGACAACATAAGAGAATCACCAACCCAGCCGCGACTATTCCCCGCCTATTTAGCCAAACAAGCACCGCCCGGGTGGGACTGCGGAGGGGGGGGGGG